CCATCTAATCCAATCCTATTTTACATACATGGAAATAGAAACTTAGAGAAGTAATTAGTCCAAGGTTACATGGGAAATCAGGAAAAGAATCCAATTAAACTGAAGTGGATTCCCACTCAGGTTGGGAATGTATGTCTCATTTCTATAAACCCGCTGCCTACCATAACGCCAGGAATACTGCAGAGATCAAAAGTTTTTGTTTAATGAATGAATAAGAATAAAAAACAAACAAAAACAGGCCTTCGGTGGTTCTCTTAGAAATAAGACTACATACAATATATATTCAAACATCAACTTTAAAGCCAGAGAGTGCCACAGGAAAGTACATACAGAATCCGAATCTCATATGAAGCAATCCTGGCATGAATAATCATAAGAAAGCATGTACTGACCTAAAAGTTGGAAGGTATTTGTTTCTCCTTTATTTGTAATAATTTACTATTTCACATCTCAGAAAAATGTCCTTGCGGGTAACAGTCTGCTGAAAGGGCACTCAGCAAGTTCCACTGAGTCAACAACATCATGAATTCTTGTGACGTATCAAGTACAGAAAACAATCACTCCTACGATGAGTGTGGCCCGAGAAATAATACCTGATGTGATAGAATCAGCGTTACTCTCACGACACTCAGGTACTAAAATCATGTGGAAATGATAATGTAATTTTAAATCAAGGCACTTTTGACTCAGAATTGGGACAAAGGCTTCCCAGTATCAGAAAAGAGAACTGCTTCCAGGCCTAGGGTTGCAAAATGTGAGACTTTTAGGTCTTTTGTGTTAACAGCATTTTTCTTGGCACTTTTTAGTCCTCCCAGTAATGAGCTATAGATCTCACACTCTTATAATTCTCATCCCTATTGTTAATAATAGGAGACAGACAAGAGCCACTGACTAGCATAAAATTAAAGGCCTAACCTTTTACCAGCATCTAATGACAACATTTTCCAAAGGGCCTGATCCACTTTACACAGCTAAAATATGAGTGGGATAAATTTGCCATAGTCACAAAGGAGCAGACCTTGGCATTGCAAAGTTTAAAGCAAAGATCTCCTGTTCTCTGAATTTAGATAGAAAGGGAAATTGCTGTTTACTAAGGGACCACACCCCTCCCATGATAGCTTTTCTAGTTCAGGGCCAGACTATAAAGAAGGGAATTACCAGCTAGAAGAAGGCTTCAAACCTTTCTTTAGATATCTGAACATACATAAATTCCTAGGAAGGCAAATAAATTACTTTGTATAATATCAGAATATCGGTAAGCAAAACTATACTGTTGCTATTTTTAATAAATAAGAAAGAGAAAAAGAGAGGGAAAGAAGGAAAGAAAAAAGAGGAAAAGCAATCAGGAGGAATCTGGATGTTAATATTTAATAGTGCATACAATATGCAGACTATATGGTAAGCGGAGGATTAGACAAAGGAATCAAAATGACCTTACAGAACAATCCTGCTCTTTAAAGGATTTTCTTCATATTTGTGGCAGAACTGAACTAAAGGAAACATTTTTGCTTTCATGGTTTTGTGTTTCTACAAACTGAAAAGAGAACTAGCAAAAGAAAATTTATATTATTTCTATTCTTTCCACATTTGTTCAGAGAAATAGACAAAAACCAGTCTGCCATTATCCCTAGCACTGGTTTTGTCATAAGACTCTTAAGGAGCTTTAAAAGTAACCAGATTTCAACAATAGATTTGCTGCCCAGTTTATTTCCAAACACGTTGGGCCCAATTCATCTATTTTCCCTGACACCCTAAATTATTAGAGAAAATGGCATCATAATTAAATGCCACATTTCTTGAAGCTGAATCACATTTTCTCCCTCTTCCCAATTTTTATTTTTCTAGAGATAGTAAATAATGTAAGAAAGGTCATATGCTACTATTTTAAAGCTCTAATGTCCAAATTTACTGAAGTAAAGGGACTTGACCCAGATACAGTTACCATAGTTTATGTGTTCACTCAGATGACCTTTTTTTTCACATAACCTCTGAAGAAGCCTCCAGGCATCTTTAGGTTAAAGAAAGAGGGCTCCTGGTTTAAAATAAACACTTACTTAAATTTATATACTTCACACAATGAGGTTTAATGTATAGAATTAAATGTCTTGCCTAGAATGGTCGGAAATCTTTGTCTCTGCATGGGCTAAGTTGGTTAAACAATGAACTTTCCATATCTCCAAATGGAGAGATTGCCTGAAGACGATCTTTAAAATCCTTCTCAATTTCAAAATCCAGTTGCCAACATATAGTATTCAAATGTGGAGAAAAAAAATCTCGTTTTGGCTGTTATTTTCTCAGTCTTTATGTAATGTTCTACAATATTGGCCATATTTGGTGGGGGCTGGGGGAATTAGTTTATTTCCCATCCACCCTGGCCCAACTAATTTTAGAGCCTAATATGAAAACCACGTTTAATTTGTAACACCTATGTCTAGTCACAGAAATACTGTAAAGCCCAGATTTAGCTGTGAGCTTCCACTGAAAGAAAAAGCAGCAAAAGAAAAGAAGTACACAGTGTCAAGCAAACAATACTTAATATTTTACACAAATGAAAACACACTGAATTTTTACCTTTCATGACACTTTCATCTATGCTGTTTCTCATAATTTTGTGTAAATTTAAAAACTTTTCTCCTGTTTTCTGCTTAGGATCTTATTGTGATAGAAAGTATACATATCATAGAACTACTTTTCAAAAATGTCATGTGACCATCAACAATGACACTTACCAGGCTCTGAATTTCCGGAAAGATGTTGACCAGCAGCAAGCTTTCTAAAAATGCCTTCTAGATCATCTACCTTTGTGACTGTATCATTAAAGAAGCTGCATCAAGTGGAACATGCCAGAATGTTTCACAAAGTTAACTGAACCTAGTATTTACTGTTGCTATAGAAACAAACTACCATAGCTGAATTTAAAAGGTTGGTACAGAATCAACTGGGCAGACATGAATAGCTCAAATTAAGCAACTGCCATCCTCTAGTTATTAAGAATTTGAGAGTAAAACGGATGAAACTCTCCTCTGATCCAGTAATGGGCTACTCCTTTCTTAATATCAAATATCTTCCTGTAGAACTCAGTAAAGTTCTGGCTGGGAACAGTTTACGCCTTAACATTTTCAGTGACAATACCATACTTGAAATCTTGAATTCCTGTCTCTTCTATGAGTCATCACTCATTTATTAATTTTAATTAATCAATTAATAGATTAATTTAATTTGATTAATTTGATTAATCTAATTTTAATTAATCTATTAATTTTAATAAATGTCCAGATGTTATAGTACTTTACTGGTAAATTAAGAGATTTTCTCCAAACCTTTACCTTATGCTGTAATCATTTACAGGCATTTTACGGATGAAAGCCTTAACGCTCTGGGAAGAACTAGAGAACTAACTGCCTAACAGAAAGCCATTGGGAGGAAACGTCTAAAATCTAAAAACCATGAACAAATTTAAAGACTCGAAAAAAAAAAAAGAAGGAAAATGGAGTTAGGAAAAATTCTAGTGCCCGAAATGAGATTAAATGTCTTCATTTTATAGGATAAAAGTGAACTGGGAATCTTTACCTTTTTGTTTTAAAAGGTATACAATTTGATAATGAGAAGGACAACAGATTTTACAAAAAGGATTGTGAAAAGAAAATCATCTGAGTGCAGATCACGTTTCTGTAAGAGACATAGCAAACGGTGCAGCAAAAATGGTCCATGATTTTCTCAAGTCTAGAATATTACTAGCCTCCACCTAGACCAAAATCATGTGAAGCCAGAGGCCAGCTAGCTATAATCAGAAAGGCAGTGTGTAGCCATTTTGTATACCTGGACCCGGAGCGGCAAATAATCTTCACAGAGATCATCCCACAGCTCCTGCAGGTCTGAAAGCTCCAAGGGATAACTCACAGGTGTCTTGTAAAGGGGTTTCAAAGACCTGTTAAGGAAACCGGAACTAACTCCATCTGTCATGCTATGGCCAGGCTTGGCTCCAGGTGGGCTGGATTTCACTGGAATCGGAAGCCTGCTCCCTCGGGGGCTCTGGATGGGCTTATAATCAAGACCCTTAATCATGCTAAGAGCTAACTCCAACTTGTGATTACACCCATGCTGCGGAGCCTGATCATCTGAACAACAGTCACACTTCCCAAGTTCCTTCGAGCTTCTCTCGGTCTCCTCGTCTTTCTGCTGCGGAGGGCTAGCCTGGACGCTGGCATCCAAAGATTCCACGGAGGAACCCGCCGTCTCCTCCTCCATGCTTTCTCCATCTGGGGGTACCTTTGTGCTTGCTAAGTCAGGTGGCCCAACCTCAGACAGCGCCGGTTCTTCGGTGCAAATGCTGGTGGACCACCTGCTAGAAGGGCCACAGGAGATGCTTCTGGCCACCTTTCGAGGCACCTTACAAATGGCTTCATAGTCAGAATCAGCAACCCGCAAAGCTGCACAACCACGGCATCTCCTGGGTCGGTTTCCAGGGCCTTCCGAGGCATGGCAGCTGTGCGGCTCCTGCATCTGATCCTCATTCTCTACCCAGCACTCAAACCCTGAATAGGCGAAGTCCTCCTGGAGCAGTGCAGAGTATCTTGCATCGGGTAGGACGGACATGTCAACCGTCCCGTTCCCCGCCTTGGTCTCCGCGCCGGAGTCCTCGTTATTCTTCCGATACATACTGGCAATGCAGAACTTGAGGCGATCCTTCTCCAGCAGCAGCTTTTGCAAGCGCTCAATAGAAAGCGCTTCGATCCGGGCAATAACGGTGTCGAACCGATAGATCCGATCGAGCATGAAAGCGCACTTGCTGCAGGCGAACTCGGCTTTGCCATCGCGGGGGACATCCTTGCCCAGGACGTGCGAAAGCAGAACCTGGAGGTTGAGCTTGGACGCCGTGTGGAAGATCCAGCGCCGCTGGTTTCCGCACAGCTCCCGGGCGCAGATCCTGCAAATCTCCTTCATCTTCCCTCCTGGAGGGTCCCCGGCTTCCCGGGGCGGCGGCTACCGGGTGACCGCGCTCTGTCTCCCGCCTCGGGGGTCTCGGGTCAGCATGGCACAGGCCAGTGGGTCCCCACTCCGCAGGGCTGCACCCCTGTCCCGGGCGCCGGCTCCGGGTACCAGCGCCGTCAGCCCCGCCCCTAGGGCAGGGGGCGGGCGTGGAGACGCCCAGGGGGATGCTGAGTGACGGCGGCGCAGGCCGCGCTCCGACGCGGCCACATCTCCCCCCGCTGTCTCGCCCGCCAGGCGCCGCGTCCTCAACGTCCTCCCCTGTTCGCAGCCCGGGCTCCCAGGGCACCGGCGGCCGCCCGCGCCGACGCAAGGCCTCGGGGACGGAGGCTCAGATTTCAAGATGGCTCCAGCCGCTCGCGTCGGCGGCCTCGCGCGCCTCTTCTGGGAGCTGTAGTCCGGTCGGCGCGCTCCCGGCTCTGCGCATGCGGGGAGTGGCCGGGGCGCCCCTCGCCCCAAATCCTGCCACACGCCCGGCTCACGGCGGCTGCGGAGCGGAGAGCACGATGGCGCACAGCGCAGCCAGCCGCGTTCACCCGCTAAGGCCTCACCTGAAAGGCGCACCGTCCCCACAAGGATCCTCCCGCCCCTGCGGGATGTTCCCAGGCTCCTCCTCGCGGGGAGGAGACGGCCGCACCCCCTCCCCTCGTCCTCGTACAGTGCCACGTCCTCCGCGGGCGCAGCCAGGCAGCGCCGCTAGGTACCGCTGCGCGCCGCCGCCTCCTCCCGGCAGCCCCGCCCCGCCCGGGTTCCAAGGCCCCGAGGCTGCCAGGCGGGCGGGGGAACGCTTGGTGTCCGGAGGGGCGGGCGGGGCGGGGCCGCGCAACCCTTACCTGGAAAAAAGAGTAGACGAGTGTCTCTCCCGCCCTGGGGGTGGGGGAAGGGTAGCACCCTTGGGCGACTTGCCCTACTTTAGACGAAAAAGAGCGCCGAGCAGTCACCTGAGACAGAGTCCGGCAAATACGGTGTGAATCTGCTTGACCAAGATTGTGGGAAGAGAGAACAGCAATGGGCTTTTCCAAGGACGCAGCCACCCGCGGGTAGATGAAGTGGCCCTCCACTGAGGTCTCTGTCGCTCACGTAGAGGGCAGTCATCATTTTAGGACAGGGGAGGGGCATTATTTTAGCACAGACAGGGGAGGGTAGATAAACACCAGCGCAAAACACGGAACTTCTCTCGGCAAGGGCTCAAGGGCCTGGGAGTGCGGCCCGCGTCAGAAAGAGCTGGGAACTGCACTGACCCGTGGGAACCCCGTCCTCCTCGGCTCTGTACAGGGGGAGGTCCTCCACCCTTGGGTCTAAAAGTTGGGTTGCACACAAAGAGGAGGGAAGCTGGAGCACTGGCTGGCTGGAATGCAGTTACCTCCGGCCATTCCTTTCATGAAGAATTCTGGGTGGCTCACGCCTGTAAGCCCAGCACTTTGGGAGGCCGCGGCGGATGGATCACAAGGTCAAGAGATCGAGACCATCCTGCTCAACATGGTGAAACCCCGTCTCTACTAAAAATACAAAAAAAAGTTAGCTGGACATGGTGGCACGTGCCTGTAATCCCAGCTACTCAGGAGGCTGAGGCAGGAGAATTGCCTGAACCCAGGGGGCGGAGGTTGCGGTGAGCTGAGATCGCGCCATTGCACTCCAGCCTGGGTAACAAGAGCGAAACTCCGTCTCAAAAAAAAAAAGAAAAGAAAAAGAATTCTCTATTCTCTTCCTGGCTTGAGAGGCATTCAGACACGACAAGAGGAACAACCTCAACAATCACTTGCAGTCCTCTAGAGCAGGACATTTCCCACTTCTAATCATGCTAAATTTTGACCTTGAAAGCTAAGGCCAGCCACATCTAAGTTTTTCTGAACCTCGTCCCCAGGACAGAGCCCATACTCCTAAGCTTGAAGATAGCCAACTGCCATCTATGAGAGTTCATAATAAGCCCCCAAACGTCTTCCTGAAGACTAAATGAGATGATTTTAAGGAAATGCTTTAATTGTGTTTAGCTTATTAAAAATAGCTAATATTGTTTTAATATGAATTGGAATATTTTAAGTAATTTAAAAACAGTATGGGTCTCTGCCTACATAAGATTGTATTGTTCTCTTAATCACCAGAGCAAAATCTAGTAGCTCCATTGTAAGAGAGAAGGACAGTCAAAGCTTTGGGCTTATTAGGCGATATGATTTGAATACATGGCCCCACGAAATTTCATGTTGAATTGTAATCCCCAGTGTTAGAGGTGGGGCCTGGTGGGAGGTGTTTGGGTCGGGGGGTGGATTCCCTAATGGGTTTGTACTACCCTTGAAATAGTGAGTGAGTTTCTCTGATATCTGGTCATTTAAAAGTTTGTGGCGCCTCCATGGCCCCATCTTGTTCCTGCTCTGGCCACGTGACCTGTTTGCTCCCCCTTCACCTTCCACCATGATTGTTACCTTCCGGAAGCCTCCCCAGAAGCCAAGCGGATGCCAACACCGTGCTTCCTATAAAGCCTGCAGAACTGTGAGCCAATTAAACCTCTTTTCTGTATACATTACCTGGTCTCAAGAGCAATACAAGAATGGCCTAGTAACATAGGCTATAGAATTTTGTATATGTAATTTCATCTACTATGTATATTTTGACCTGAAAACCGAGAATAGAGCATTTCAAGTAAAACTACAGCTGCATTTTTGCCTGCTGCTAGGTACGTGAACTTCAAAGTCGGAAGAAATGAAGCAACATGCTTTGGAATCTGTGGTGATCTATAGAAAGGCAAAGAGTTTCCGGACTTACCCTGACTGATGGAAAGACAGCCTGCCTGCCAAGACACTACTCTGCTGTACCCAGTCTTAAGTATAATCAAGAGTTCATTTTTTACTGTCAATGCAAGCCACGTTTTCCTGTTAGGCAAATGTGAATGAAACAAAGTGCTCTTCAAGAGCAAACCCTGAATTATACTTTGGATTATTCTCTGTTCCTCAAAAAGATTTTGCACCTGATTGATAGTCTCCAAATTTTAATGACAGTATATAGACAGCTTGGTGTAGATATACAGGTCAAAACAAATGATGAAAAGGCAATTTGCCATTGAAGAATATGTTTGCTGTAAGTAAAGGTCAATATACTGAGAAAGCTATACATATCTAGGCTTTGAAAAACAGATGGGAATAAACCACTCAGCAATCAGGAAATTTGAATATGGCACTCTGTTGTTGAACTATTTTCTCTGGAAGAAACTATCTCAAAGTGGATATAAGCTATTGTACTAGAATTAGTTCCTACATGAGCATTTGGAATTATGAAATAATGTATTCCCAGCAAAAAGATCACTGGCATATAGATAATAAAACTTGAAAATAAAAATTTAAAAATAAAACTTAGAAAAATTATGTATAATAAATTCTGCACTTCTTGGTCATTATTATCCTATGGTCAGGAGTTTGCAGTTGAATTGGTTACCTACGGTGGGGCTATACAAGGACATTTACTTTTTATTCTATAGACTGTGTATCATTTGAATTTTGGACAACGAATGTTTATTCAGGTATTAATTTTAGATTTTATTTAATTTAGAAGGTATTTTATGGTTAAAGCTAAGGACTGCCAATTTAACACACTAATATCAGGGTCTAAGTGGTAAAACTTGAACCTAAAATAAAAATTTTTATACTACATATGATAAATATATAAGTAGATAATTTATGTAAACCAAAGTTCAAAGGGGTACACAAGTTATTAGTAATGGTTATGTCTAGAAAGAATTATGGGTATTTTCTTTTTTCCTTATTTTCTATAATTTTTTACATTATGTGTTACATACTTTACATAACTTACAGTAAGTACTGCTTTTGTGGTAAGAAAAAAATATTTGTTACTAAGAAAAAAGGTAGATGAAACATATTTTGGTGTATTCATACAATACAATACTAACCAGCAACGAAAAGAATTAACTCAGATACAGGTGATATGCATGAATCTTGAAAACATTTTAAGTAGGGCTGGGTGCGGTGGCTCAAGCCTGTAATCCCAGCACTTTTGGAGGCCGAGGCGGGTGGATCACGAGGTCAAGAGATCGAGACCATCCTGGTCAACATGGTGAAACCCCATCTCTACTCAAAATACAAAAAATTAGCTGGGCATGGTGGCGCATGCCTGTAATCCCAGCTACTCAGGAGGCTGAGGCAGGAGAATTGCCTGAACCCAGGAGGCGGAGGTTGCGGTGAGCCGAGATCACGCCATTGCACTCCAGCCTGGGTAATAAGAGCGAAACTCCGTCTCAAAAAAAAAAAAAGAAAACGTCTTAAGTGAAACAAGTCATATGTAAATGAGAATATCCTGTGTGATTCCATTTATTTGAAGTCTAACAACAACAGGTCTACGGTTGTACTACCCTGAACGCACCTGATCTCATCTTAAGTCTAATAATAGACTATGGGAAAAACAGATCTATAATGGTAGAGGTCTGGAAGTGGCTGAACAGTTAGAGACAGGGTGAGAAGCGATGGCAAAGGGACACAAAGAAATTTTCTGAGGTGATGAAGATGTTCTGTATTTTGTTTTGGATAAAGATGACATGAATATGTACAGTTGTTGAGGCTCATTGAACAGGGTACTTAGATCTGTAGATTGTATACATATTAGTATATTTCAATTCAAAAGGTTATAAGGAGTAAATAAATTAAAAATATGTATTGCCCCAAAAATGTTAATCTAAAGGATTTTGTTAGTAGAAAGTCACTCCCACTATAAGAATAGTTTTTAAAATTAGGAAAATATTATATATAAAATATAGCCCTAAGTTAAGTCACTTATATCTGGCTTTTAATTTCCTAAACTACAATGAATTATGTTGAATTTAAACAGTAGTTTTCAAACTTCAGCATGCGTCAGAATCACCTGGAGGGCTTATTAATACAAATTGCTGGGACCTACCCCCTTGAGTTTCTGATACAATAGTCAGGTCTGGAATGGGGCCCAGGAACTCGCATTCCTGAGAAGTTCCCAGATCATGTTGCTGCGACTATCTGGGAACCACACTTAGAAAACCACTGAACAGGCTGGGCGCGGTGGCTCAAGCCTGTAATCCCAGCACTTTGGGAGGCCGAGGCGGGTGGATCACGAGGTCAAGAGATCGAGACCATCCTGGTCAACATGGTGAAACCCCATCTCTACTAAAAATACAAAAAATTAGCTGGGCATGGTGGCGCGTGCCTGTAATCCCAGCTACTCAGGAGGCTGAGGTGGGAGAATTGCCTGAACCCAGGAGGCGGAGATTGCGATGAGCCAAGATTGCGCCATTGCACTCCAGCCTGGGTAACAAGAGCGAAACTCCGTCTCAAGAAAAAAGAAAAGAAAAGAAAACCACTGAACAAGAACCATCCTAAGCTGTATCAGTCAAAAGAGCAGATGTTCTGCAGATAGACAGAAAAGCACATTAATAAAGAACTACTTAAAAAAATCTTCGTTGAATTTAGAGAACTCTGTCTGCATTTGGAACAAGACTTCTAAATATTACTGTGGTATTGGATCTTTAGCACTATCAGTGTTTTGACCTCTAGATTTTGCAGTCACCATAGTCTCTTTCGTACTCCTGGTAAGCAACAAGGTTGTAGTGTTTCTAAGACCTACTTCTGGGCTGAGAGGGAGTTTCCAGAAGAACTGGAGAGGTGGAAAATCCCCATGTCCCAAACCAGTTGTTTTAGGTTTCACTGCCTGGTTATGATGTTGGAAATAGCTATTCTAATTACTAAAAACTATGCATCGAAAGAAAAATGTGATTCTGGCAGAGAAAAATGCAAGAATGTCAAGATAAAGCCAGTTAGGCTTTGTGGTAACACAGGCAGGTGCGTGATTTCCCTGAGCTCTTTGGAAATCTTTAAGAAGTCAGAAACATGCTTTGCATTAATTGACAACATAACATTTTGAAATGTTTGTTTAAAAACCAGGAGATTTCCAGTTCATCTGCAGATTATAGTAGTATGCTTCTCAGCAAAATCCATCTAAGAGAAAACATTAGAGTCTTTCAAGTTGTTAAATACCCATAGGTTGTTAAGTGAATTTTAAAAGTATTTGTTAAATCAATCAATGAGCAAGAATGCAAACTCACATCTCTTTTCTCTCTTCAATGAGCTTTCAGTTAAGTTAAAAGGGAGAAAAGGTGCACATGACAGTTAAAGTAATTGACTGGTAAATGAAATGGTACTGACTTAAATGTAGTATAGGTACAGATAAAGGTGAGGTTAGTATGGGCTGGTATAGTTGAAGGGGCAAGAGTGGCACTTGAGATGGATGTTAGGATGAAGGAGGCCAAGGAAGGGACTCCAGCAAAATAAAATAGCATCCTTAAAAGCCATGGAACTTGGGTTCAACACAGCGCTAGCCTGTAGGTAAAGGGAGATGTTGGGGATTTTTGAATGACCAGGTTTATCCATCCATGCATTGAATCCTCTATAGTTGTTCATTCAAAGAACATGTATCAAAGAACCATCTATAACCCAGACACTATGCGATGGAGTGCCTTGGCAACTAGAATTTGGTTAATGTTTTGACAAAGGCAAAAGAATTTGGATATAATGTTATGGACTTAAGCAGAGAATGGCATGATTGAAACCTTTTTTTAGGAAGATTACCCAGGCAACAGGATGGATTGCACTTACAAGGAGAACTTCGAGATGGTTACAGGAAGGCCTGCTAAAGAGACACTACAGTTATTCAAGGGTGAATTAATAAAGGTCTGGCTTAGAAATGGAAAGAAAGTGGTAAATACGAGAATCACCTTGAAGAAATGAACAGCAGGACTTGATGGTATATATGCAGACAAAGAAAATAAAGCGTTTAAGATGGAAATAATGGTAGAAGATGGCACAAATTAACAGAAATGTAGGAGTTGGGGCATCTATTTGCAAAAAAATAATGAAGATATTTATTTGGGACATGCTGAGGTGACTGAGGCAACTCAGTGGAATACTAAATGGAGCCGTTGCACAGTCAAAGCACAGGTGGGGGAGTTCAAGAATGAAAGGGATGGCTGACATTGTCAAAATCTAGAGAGAAATTAGCAGGAGAGATAAGGTGAGGCATAACATTTCCTAATGTGACTGGGTGTAACTGGGTACACCTGTAAACTAGATGGATTTGAAAACATCAGAGTGTACCTTTACTTCCCAGAATCCTTCCCTATCAAGCCAAATACTAACTTCTTTTCTATCCTGTTTCTGAGCATCTCTAACAAGCATATCTTGCTTCACATTTTCACTGCACTTTCCATTTCAGGTTCTTGAAACCTGATACCTGAACTGTGTCACACAGCCTCAGAAGCTTACCACTAATTATCCTGCATGTTATTTGCAGAACATTCAGAGTAAAGATCCATCATTGTCCACTACCTGTAGGTTGAAGTCAAAACCTTTAGTTTGACATGTAATCATCTCTACAAAAAGATCCTAATCTACCTCCCTTCCAGCTTCATCTCATGCTTCTTCCCTAGCCAAATGCTGAGAGGGTAAATGTTTGGATGTAAATTTGTCTTGTTACCTGTATAGCTCTGCCTCCCTCACTTCCAATCTGATGGTCAAGACCTTAGCATTCCCTTGACTCCGGAATTTTTGCAGAGCAAAGAGCGGAGGCTGTTTGAAGCCAAGCGCATTTCCAGACTTTTATGAAATTCTAAGCCCATTGAGAGATTCAGGCTGATGTCGCATTGGGGAAGAGAAGAGAGAAAAGTTTTTGAAGTCAATGAAGAGGACAGAGTGACATTTCACCCAGATGGAAAGAGATTGGAGGTCAAAGAGTAACAAGTACCCAGCTCCATTCCATATCAGTGCCCTGGATAAGCAACAGGACCTCAGAGGGAGAAGTAACAGGGTAACTTGGAGAGGCTGGACTTTCCATGGGATTCTGGCTGCATAAAAGGTTCCAATATAACAAGCTTCTGGGGTTGGCAAAACCATCCTTACTGAGGTAGGGGTGCTTTAGCGGTAGATCAATGATCAGAGTGGTCTCCTCGGTGCTTTGGCACCTGGTAAAACCTAGGGATCTTTAAGTAACTGAGAAAGTAGGGAGAGGAGGAAATATCAAACCTATGAAATTGAATTTCTCACCATAGTGATTAAGACAGGGACTTTTTTTTTAAATTGCATTTTAGGTTTTGGAGTACATGTGAAGAACATGCAAGATTGTTGCATAGGTACACACGTGGCAGTGTGATTTGCTGCCTTCCTCTCCGTCACCTAAATCTGGCATTTCTCCCCATGCTCTCTCTCCCCAACTCCCCACCCCCTGCTCTCCCTCCCCTATTTCCCCTCGGCAGACCCCAGTGTGTGATGCCTCCTCCCTGTGTCCATGTGTTCTCATTGTTCAACACCCACCTATGACTGAGAACATGCGGTGTTTGATTTTCTG